TACGACTATGGGATGAAATATGGGATAGAAAGATTACTATCATTTACGTTTGCGAAGAAATCCCTGGAACAAAGGAAAGATTTGTTATGGGACTGCACAGCCAAGGCGCAATGCCATCTATGCAACAGCAACGAGCGCCCAACTGCTCTGCATCCAGACTCTGAACCATCACAGCAGACAACTCCTAACCCTCCTTTGAACAAGGAGCCTCAGCGTGCTGTGACAGCACACTATGCGCCTCAGCACGCCGCGAAAGCACAATTGGAGCCAATGGTGAGTGTCAATTGCACAACAGTGTGCGATAACACACCAGCCCCTCGCTCGTGTTGTCAGATCTGCTTAGCCAAAGTCTACCCCGATGGATGCCCAGAAGAAGCAGTGAAGATATATGTAATACTGGATCCTCATAGCAATCGCTCTCTAGCCAGGTCTGCATTCTTCGACCTCTTTGATGTTCAGAAGGAAGATGTGCACTTCACGATATCAATGTGCACCGCACCAAGATGCACAGCGGGGAGGAGCGCTACTGGACTCTGTATAGAGTCATTAGATGGAAGTTCCCAGTTCCTACTGCCGCCCGTGTTGGAATGGGACAGGTTACCAGATGACCGCAGCCACATTGCAACACCAGAGATAGCTAGCAACATACCTCACCTGAAGCATATGGCTCATCACTTTCCTGCCCTAGATCCTGAAGCCAAGATTTTGCTCTTGCTGGGACTAGATGCCCCTGATGCTTTAGTGTACACTGAACCAGTAAGAGGCCCGAGATACTCACCCTATGCCTTCAAAACAGACTTGGGTTGAGGATCTCAGGAATTGTGTCGATCAGATGCAGGCCCCAACCCAGGCAGATGCCTTTGCACCATCCATTCCAACAGCCTTCCGACGCCCTTTAGCACCATCGAAAACAAGAATGCTGGTCCATCCTAAAAGGCCGCTGGCGGCTAGTAGACTTTCACTAAGAAACCCTAAACAGCCGCCAGCGACCACTAGACTTTCACAAATATGCTCTACAAGGGCACTGGAACAGCTGCTGCACTGGATGACAAGTGGGGGAGAGGCAGCCCCGCAGCCAGTGAGGAGAAGTTGGGGGGGTCGCCCACAGACATCCCCTCCAACCCGAAGGGAAGCCCTGGAAACCCCTCGGCTAAACCAGGGAGAGGCACTGCTTCGCTTCAGGGGAGAAAAAGGCAATTCGCCTCCTTGAAAGACGTGTCAGGAACATCCTAAGGTAAATTTCAAACAGCCCAGAGAACAAAAAGGCGGAAAAAGGGAAATGCCCCCTTTCCACCCAGAGCAACCAATCAGAGCGCAGATCCCCTCAGGCGGGAGCTTGCCCTCCCTCAGCCACAACGGGGTGTTTGGGACCTTTGTGCGCTTTCCTTCTCCAGCCATTAAATGGGATATTTTCACATTTGAAGTGTTCAAAAGAAAAAGACCCAAAATGACTTTGCTTTTGTCCATTAGATTGAATTGTCAGGCTGGAATGGTTTTTTTTAAAAAAAAAAAAAACTTGTACTGGACTAAAAAGAAGTCAACATCTTTTTTTCTCCCTTGTTGTTTCTTGTACCTCAGACTTTCTTTTCCCCTCTCTTTCTGCTTCCCTTAATTTCCTATTTCTATTTTCTTTTGTGTTTTGTATAATAAATAAATAAGATCTTGAGACTCTAGAAAGAGAGCAGAGAAGAATAACAAAGATGAATGCTAAAAGATATTAAAAACAGTTTCTGGAACTGGGTGTGTCTGGTCTGAGGAAAAGAAAGATGAGGGGAGACATGGTGGCATCTTCCGATATCTCAGGGATTTCCACAAATATTTCTCTCTTCTTCTCTCCTCTAAATAAATATAGAAGCGGACCTAATGAAAGAGGCGGAGGTGGAGTTGCACTTTATAGATAAGAAATAACCAAACCGCTCTAGCAACGCCACAGAAGAAAGACGAAAACCTCCTTCGAGGCATTTGGGTTCCTATAAAAGGGGGGAAAGAAGCACAGACTTCGAAGCCTTTGTCTGACAGGGAGCAAGATGGGCCTTCCCCCTCCCATGCGCCCCTCTTTCCCACCCCAAGGAAAGGGAATTCCAGGTGTTTCCCCATTAGGCCACTGGAGGGCGAACCTCACGGCTGCCTTCCCAGAGGAGGCGGCAAAGGAAGTGAGATCACTGAGTCTTGCCTCTCTAGGATGCTGCACTCTCTCTCCTCAACCCCTGGGGCTCGGCACTAATAGCAGATGGGTTTTTGGTTCCAGAAGGGCTGTTGTTGATTTCATTAGGGGAGGGGGGAAATCTAGCCCTCCCTCCTTCCTTCCTCCGTCCCTCCCTGCCTCCTTCCTTCCGGGGATCCAGGCCAGCGCCCCCACCAGCAGCACCAGTCCATGGATGCCACCCCACAAGCGCCCCCAAAGAGAGGGGAGAAAGACGCAGAGGGAATGAGGGGGGTCTAGATTGGGGGGAGGGGGCATTTTCCTCTAACTTTGGGTTTGGGAGGGTCCATGAAAGCGGAAGGACCAATGGAAATTCTCCCTCTTTCGCGTCATCGGTCTCTGGGCTTCGTCTCCCTTGACTTTACCCGATGGAGGAGGAAGTTCGGCGCAGAGAGCGAAGTGGAGAAAGTGGCAGGGGGAATCTTTTCGGTCTTGGGGGGCCGCAGGACAAGTGGAGGTTCAGGCCAGCCCTGGAGGGGAGTAGGGCTGCAGTGGATGGGAGAAGGGGAGGCGCAGCCCAACAACCAGCGAGGACTTGGGGGTCTCTTAGCCGGTTGATTGGGGAGTCCTTGGGCTCCTTCGCGCGCGCCCTTTGGTTCCTTTCCTGACAAAGGGGCTGCCGGAGGGCTTGTTGTGCTCCTAGTGCTGTGGAGTTTTCTGACCCACCGCAAATACCGGTAGCAGCTCGGTTTTTGGTTCAAGGATCGTTGTTGGGGGGGGAAATAAGACCCCTTCCTCCCAGTGTGTCAACCTATTCTGCAAAGCCCCAGAAGGCAGGAGAAAGAAGGCAAGGAAACTGACCAAGGAGAAATTCCCTTCCTGGCCGGGAGAGCCATCAACCAATGGAACAGGAGTCGCCTTCAGAAGTTGTGGGAGCTTTCAAGAAAAGCCTAGACTGCCCTCTGTCAGAAATGGTGCAGAGTCTCCTGCTTTGGGGGGTGGGGTTGGGCTAGATGACCTCCAGCATCCCTTCCAGCTCCGTTAGTCTGTTAAAGAGATTGTCTGAAATGGAATAGGGTTTCCTGCCTGAGTAGGAGGTTGGAGTAAAAGACCTCAAAGGTCCCTTCCAACTCTTTTATTCTTGTCCATACTGTTTTGTTCTTCCGTCCCTCCCTTCCTTCTACTTTGTTGAACTCACTGGGAGGAAAACCTGGGACAGTTTGGGAACCTAAATGGACATCTAGTCCACCCCTGCATGGACATAGAGGAAAGTCTAGTTGAGAATCGTAAAGAGAGCAAAGAAAGTGGAGGGTCTCTTCTGGGGCTGCCATGAAGACCCCTTCGAGCTGCAGCTCCCCCAAGATTGAAGGGATTCCCACTTTCACTTTCGCTCTCTGCGCTGAACTCTCCCTCCTCCTTTAGGTGAAGTCACAAAGGACTCTGCCCTGACATTGATGACTCTTTAGCATATATAATTTCCATTGGTGCTTCAGCTCAAAAGTCCGAGAAAAACGTTCCTCCCCCTCCCCTCCACACACATTCCTCCTCTGACACACAGTCACACAGACGAACACACATGTTCATTAAATGTGAAGATTGTGCTATAGGAAGAGCTGCCGCACTGGATGATAAGGGGGGCAGGGGAAGCCCCGCAGCCAGTCAGAAGTTGGGGGTCACCCACTCACACACACACACACACACCCAAATCCTAACGGAAGCCCAGAAAAACCCTCAACTAAATCAGGGAGAGGGGGAGTTTTTTGAGGGGGAGAAACAGGCGATTCCCCTCCTCAGGAACATCCTGAGGTAAATCTCAAACAGCCCAGAGAACAAAAAGGCGGGAAAAAGGGAAACGCCCCCTTTCCACCCAGAGCAACCAATCAGAGCACAGATCCCCTCAGGCGGGAGCCCGCCGTCACTCAGCCACAACGGGGAGTTTGGGGCGTTTGTGCGCTTTCCTTCTCCAGCCATTAAATTGGATATTTTCACATTTAAAGTGTTTAAAAGAAAAAGACCCAAAATGACTTTGCTGTTGTCCATTACAATGAATTGTCAGGCTGGAATGGTTTGTTTTTTTTATCTTGTACTGTGCCAAAAATAAGTCAACATCTTTTATTTTCTATTTTCTCTTGTGCCTCAGACTTTCTTTTCCCCTTTCTCCTTCCCTCAATTTCTTATTTCTATTTTCTATTTTTCTTTCTCTTTTGTATAATAAGCAAATAAGATCTTGAGACTCCAGAAAGAATGCAGAGAAGAGCAACAAAGATGGACGCTAAAAGAAATTTAAAAAAAATCGGTTGCTAGAACTAGGTGTGTCTGGTCTCAGGAAAACGAGGGGAGACATGGTGGCAACTTCCAACATCTCAGGGAATTCCACAAAGGTTTCTGTTTTCTCCCCTCTAAATAAATATAGAAGCGGACCTAATGAAAGAGACGGAGGTGGAGTTGCACTTTCTAGATAAGAAATAACCAAACCGCTCTAGAAAAGCCACAGAAGAAAGACAAAAACCTCCTTCAAGGCATTTGGGTTCCTATAAAAGGGGAAAGAAGCACAGACGTGGAAGCCTTTATCTCACAGGGAGCCATGGAGAGAAGCCTTTCCCTCTACTCCCAAACCCATCATTCCTACCCCCTCCCATGCGTTCCTCTTTCCCGCCCAAATTCCACCAGGGGGCAACCTCTGCCAAGGGAAGGGAACACCAGGCGCTTCCTTCTTGGGCCACTGGAGGGCGAACGTCACGGCCGCCATTCCAGAAGAAGTGACATCACTCAGCCTTGCCTTTCTAGGACGCCGCAATCGCTCTCTTCAACCCCTGGTCCGCCACAGGAGGCGGAGTGGCTGCAGGAGGGTCTGGTTGGGGGACATCCAGACGTGTCCCGGGTGAGCGGCGGTGTGTGTGTGGGGGGGTCTTCCAAAGTCCCATGCGCGCCAGCCGCCCTCTCCATGCGAAGGGTGGGAGGGAAGGGCAGGCCTGGCGGAGGCCCACCAGGAGAGGAGAGGAGCCTGGCGGAGGCAGGATTCGCACCGGGCTCCCCGAGGGCCACATCCTGTCTCCGGAGGGGGAGAGCAGCGGGGGGAGAGGCGGCCTCTCCAGCTGCCTCCTTCCCGGCCCTGCTGTGGGATGGGATGGGCCCTGCGCTGGGAAGAGCCGCTTGGGGCTGCGGGCAGGTTGGGGGAAGGGGGTCCAGGAACGGAATCCCCCTTTCTGATCCTGGCCGGCGGTTTTTCTCTTCCTCCCAGATCCAGAACCTCGGAGCCCTTGGCAGCCTTTGCAAGACAGGATTTCCTCTGCGGGGGAAGGAAGGAAGGGAGCAGAAGGACCAGCAGGGATCCGTCCTGCGGCCCCAGAAATGGTCCTGTGAAGGAAGAGGCCCCTGGAGACCCCCAGAGTCCCTGGAGCCCTTTGGAGTGGCTCTGCTGGAGAGAGGAAGGATGGAGACACCCCCTTTGGCCAAGGAGGGGAGTGGAAAAGGCCCTGCGGCTCTTCAGCCTGGGAGCTGTGGAGAGAGCTGGACCAGAACCGGGCAGAAGGTCCTGCAGGAGGGAACCATCCTCCCTTCAGAAGTTCCTCCCTGGACCTCCATCAAATACCAGGCAGCCGACGGTCCCCGAGGACTTTGCAGCCGACTCCATGACTTGTGCAGGCGATGGCTGAGCCCAGGAAAGCACAGCAAAGCTCAGATGCTGGACCTGGTGGTTCTGGAGCGGCTCCTGGCTCTCCTGCCCCCAGAGATGGAGGGCTGGGTGAGGGAGTGTGGAGCAGAGACCAGTTCCCAGGCAGTGGCCCTGGCGGAAGGCTTCCTCCTGAGCCAGGCGGAGGAGCATAAGGAGCAGTTCCAGCGGCAGGTGGGAGAGTTTAGGGAGCTCAGAAGGAATAAGTGTTGAATACTTCACCCCTCCTTCCCAAACTTCTCCCACGTTCATAATATGAGGCAGTCCTCCAATTCTGGTAGGGCATTGTTCCACTGTTTTCTCACTCAGCCACACGGATGGATATTGGAGGCTTTGAGGTTGTGTTCCGAATACAAGAATCCACTTTATGTCTTGTGACTTTATTATTATTTATTTATTTATTAATTTTAGAAAAAAACATTTATTTGACATACATTTAAAACAGACAAATCAACATTGTGTGTGTGTGTGTGTATATATATATATAAAGTTTTCGCGGGTACTTACATGTATGGTATTCAGCTTTGTTTGGGTATTTTCCCACGTCATTGTAGTTGTGCTTTTAAAGTTGTAGCAACGTTTCAGCAGAATCTCATCTGCCATCCTCAGGCTTCTGTATAGTGTTCATCTGTGAGTCAGACTTTTATATTGGTTTCAGATTTAAATTTGGGGCAGCCTATTGCTGTGCCAGAATGGTTTTTTCTTTATCCTGATTGGTTGGGAGTTTTGGTCTGTGTTTATTGGTATTGGAGTTTGCTGTGTTCTGCTTGATTGGTGTTTCTAATATCTTTTGTCTGTTTTGGGGCTCTTTTTGTATCTTGATTGGCTGGCAACATTGTATTTCTTTATTGGAGGCCTTTAGTGCAGCTTGGCTCCAGGTAAATGGACGGCTATCATTTGTTAGGAAGCTAGGTTTCATCTGGGTGCCTGGTTGGGGTGTGTTTGAGCTGGAGGTATCAGGGGGGATCTGTTTGTGCCCAGGTGCTTGTCTGGCTAGTGGTGTGGAGATTTTTTTGTTTGTGAGTGCAGGCTTCCAAATGATTGACAGTCTGGTGGAATCATCTCTTCTATTCATCCTTTCTGGTCTTTTTTCAATCTCTATGGCTTCTCTGATGATTCTGTGGCTGGGGTTTTCTATAGTGGCTAGGGTTTTGGTGCCATTGAAGTTGATGCTATGACCTGTGGCTTCCATGTGTTGGACTAGTGAGGAAGTGTGTTCCAGCTTTTTGACTGCATTTTTGTGTTCATCTAGGCGGGTACTTATTCTTCTATTGCTCTGTCCAATGTATGTGGCCGGGCATGATGCACAGGGGACTTCGTATATGCCTTGGTTTTCCAGGTCAATTTTATCTTGGGGTTTCTGAGGATGGCTGCTATTTTTCTGTCTGTTTTGAAGGCAGTCTTGATGTGATGTCTGTGTAGTATCTTACTGATTTTGTCAAAATCGGGAGGTAGGTGCCAGCGGTGAACCATTTTATATAAGTTTTCTTTATACAAGACTGACATGGTTAATTTGTAATTTGTTTGCCAGATGTGTTCCCATTTATCTAATTCAATACTATGACCCACGTTTTTAGCCCAAATTATCATAGATTCTGTGACTGTTTCTTCTTTTAATTTGTAATCCAAAAGATATTGATATGTTTTACTAATTGTTTTCTTTTCCTAGCCATATTTTATCTAATTCTTGTGGGATCATATTAAAGCCAAATTTTTCTCTATCTTTTTTATAATGGGTTTGTATTTGTGCAAAGGGCCACCATGCTATCTCCTTTCCTTGAATTTGTATTTGGTTCCTATTTTTAAGCTCTCCAGTATCATATAGTAAATCTTTATACCTGACAATATTTTCATAATCCAATAGATTTGGATATGTGACTGCTTCCAATGTACATAGCCACAATGGAACCTTTGGGTAGTGGTTTTTTTTAATCTTTCCCCAGATATTGAACAACACATTTCTTACATGGTGCCTTTAGAAATATGAATGTTGTTTAGATTTTCCATCCCACATGAAGGTGTGCCAGCCAAGTTGGAGATCAAAACCTTCTAATACTAATAACCTTTTGTTTTCTAATTTAACCCAATCCTTAAGGCAGTTTACTATAGCAGCATCACAATATATTTCAAAATCTGGAAGGCCAAATCCTCCTTTTTTCTTGGCATCCTGTAATAATTTATATTACACTCTGGTTTTTTCCTCTGCCATATAAATTTAGATATACATTTGTTTAATTCTACAAAAAAGTTCTTTTCCAACTTGACTGGCACTGTCTGAAACAGGAACAACAGTTTTGGCAAAATATTCATTTTTACTGTTGAAATACGTCCCAATATCTTGTGACGTATTTTAATTCTGCTTCTTCCTTCCTCCTATTTAAAGTGCTGCACTGTGGAGATCAGTGATCCTGAGGGAAAGAAGAACCCATCAAATCCCCCTCAGGAGCTATATTTCAGGAAGATCCCTTGGGAAGATCCAAGTCAAGACACCTTAGGAGGTAATGGAAGATCTCTGATTACCCATCTGTCTTGTCTTCGCTCTCTCTTCTCTCCTTTAGAATACCTCCTCCTATTTTGTTAATTATGCATTTGGAAATTATTTATTCCTTACAGAGAAACAAAGAATGAAGCTTTCTGTTTTTTATGACGGAGATCAAACAGCAGTTGAACCTCCAAATCAAGTAAGAAAAGGAAAAGTTTATTAGATTTTTATTCTCCCTTCAGGAAGTGAAGTGGGTGTGCAGAGGTCTCTTTCTTTCTATTTCCCCCCTTTCTTTGGCCTGGATTATTTTTCTGTTCTTTCACAAGATGGAAAGCAGAATAGCAGGTTCAAGTTGCTGTCACCCAGCATAGCTTCCTCTGGTTATCTTGTTCTGCTAGGTTCTCCTCCAACTTTGAGTTTACAAGAAGCAATTTTTAAAGGTCCTTCAAGAAATAAACATATCATAGTGGCAGGAACTGCTAGAGAGACCCCTTTTTTGGGGTAATTCTTTGACTTATTTATAACCTGTAGTTCAAAAACAAGCAAATCGTATTAAAAAATAAAGCACATTATTAAAATCCAAAGAGAGTGGCCATGTTGAGCATGTAGTCATGGTACTTTGGGCTGGAAAATAATTTCCGATTTGCACCTCGATTAGGAGATCAAACATTCCTGCTTTACAACAGCTGAGAAAGGATTTTCCCAGGGAATTTTTTCTTCTTTGCTTTCTTCCTTTCAGCCAATGGCTCAGACTACTAGATCAATCAATGATAGACAGAGCGATAGATCAGTTGATCCAGAAGTGGGGTTACTTTACTGAAAGGCACTGAAGATTTTTCAGAATCAATGAACTTGTTAAAAATTCCCCAAATATTTCTTCAGTGAAAGCAGTTTTCAGATTTTCCCATTTTCTCACCTAAGAATAGGACTTGTATAACCCACAGCCATTTAACATATCTCTGCTTTGGGAATTTGGGAACAATAGAACAGAATAACAGAGTTGGTAGGGATTTTGGAGGTCTTCTAGTCCAACCCCCTGCTCAGATAGGAAGCCCTATAACATTTCAGATAAATGGCTATTTCTTCATAAACACCTCCAGTGTTGGAGCATCCACAATTTCTGGAGGGAAGTCATTCCACTGATTAATTGTTCTCACTGTCAGGAAATTTATCTTTATTTGTAGGTTGGTTCTCTCCTTGAATAGTTTCCATCCATTGCTTCTTGGAACACTGCTATCATGTCTCCCCTAGTCCTCCTTTTCATGAAAGTAGACATGCCTAATTCCAGCAATCGTTGTTTATATGTTTTAGCTTCCAGTCCACTAATAATTGTTGTTGCTCTTCTCTGCACTCTTTCTAGAGTCTCAAGACCTTTTTTACATCTGGCAACCAAAACTGCATGCAATATTCCAAGTATGGTCTTACCAAGGCATTATAAAGTGGTACTAACACTTTATGTCATCTTGATTCTATCCCTCTTAATGCATCCTATGATTCTGTTGAAGGTTTTTTTGGGGGCAACTGAAGCATAGTGGTGACTCATGTTTAAGTGGTTGTCCACTATGGCTCCAAGATCCCTGTTGCACTTACTACTCTTGAGCCAGGTATCATCTATGCCAGTGTATTTGGTTTTTCCTTCCTAAATGTAGAACCCTACATTTCTGATTGTTCATTTCCTTTTGTTAGATGGGGCCCAATCTGTTGATCCTTCTATATCTG